CATGGTTACTGTCATTTTTTCAAGATGGCTCAATTTATTCCATTAAAGAAACTCCCCTCTGCTGCTCAACTACCCAATATGTTTGCCAAATAAGTCTTTAGATTACATGGCATACTGGTTGATATAGTCTCGGATAGGGGTTTGTCAGTTTATCTCTAGGTTCTGGAAGGGTTTCTGTGCAGAGATGGGGGTTCATCTTTCATTTTCTTCATCCTATCACCCACAATCTAACAGTTACATAGCTGAAAAAGATACTTGCGTTCATCAAGTTCCATCTTCCTCACATATGATTTTGCTATTGATCCAAAAGAAGGCAAAAAAAAAAAACCTTTCTTCAACAAACTAGGAAAAAAAAAAAATCATTTTTGACCCCCAAATAGCAGTCAGATGTCTCCTTGGATCAAGCAGCTATTACCCCACTAATTAGAAATTATATCCCTGTATGTTATGTTTTTGGAAGTATTTATCCAATTGCTGTTTAAACATCTGTAGTGACTCTGATAAAACCACCTCTTCAGGCAGAGAATTCCATATCCTTATTTCTCTTACTGTAAAAAAAAACTTTTCTTTGCCTTAGATGAAATCTCCTTTCTTCCAGCCTAAATGTGTGACCTCGTGTCCTATGTATAGCCCTGTTTATGAATAGATGTCCAGATAATGGTTTGTACTGGCCCCGAATATATTTGTATAATCATATCCCCTCTGAGGCGCCATTTTTCCAAACGAAAGAGATTTAAATTTTTTAACCTTTCTTTGTAACTTCTTTGTAACTAAAATGTAACTAAAATGTTCCATCCCTTTTATCAATATTGTAGCTCGTCTCTGCACTTTTTCTAGTACCATGATATCCTTCTTTAGAACAGGTGCCCAAAATCGCACAGCATATTCAAGGTGTGGTCTTACCAGCAATTTATAAAGAGGCAAAACTATATTTTCATCCCGAGAATTTATGCCCCTATTTATGCATGACAAAACTTTATTAGTAGAGTTGAGCGGACACCTGGATGTTCGGGTCTGGCGGGTTCGGCCGAACTTTGAAAAAAAGTCCGGGTTCGTGATCAAACTTGACTCCGAACCCGAACCCAGGGGCGTATTAGCCGCGAGGCAAACAAGGCATTTGCCTTGGGCGGCATTTTTCAGGGGGCGGCAAAAAACACCGCCCCCCAAATGCCCAGGGCAAATGCCTAGTTAGCCTTGCGGCTAACAGACATCCCGAGCAGGCGGGCGGCTGGCGAGGGAGCACTTCCTATGGGCTCTCTCCTCAGCTCCCTCGCGCGCCGCAGAGTGAGGCTGGGAGCCGGGTTGATGACGTCATCTTCCGGCTCCCAGCCTCACTCTGCAGCCGGCACGCGAGGGAGCTGAGCAGTCAGCTCATAGGAAGTGCTCCCTCGCCAGCCGCCCGCCTGCCAGCGCCACCTGCCCGACCTGCAGCCACTGGACCACCAGGGAGAGAGACCCCCCCCCCAGCACTCCCAAAGGTAAGGAGGTTGGGGGGGGATTTAAATTTAAAAAAAAGTTAATGTGTGTGTTTGTGTCTGACTGTGTGTGTGTGTCTGACTGTGTTTGTGTCTGACTGTGTGTGTGTTTGTGTCTGACTGTGTGTGTGTTTGTGTCTGACTGTGTGTGTGTATTTAGAAGGTGGGGCGGGGGGGAGGTTTGGGTGGGGGTGGCGCGGGGGGAGGGGGGCGCCTGAGTTTTGTCCTGCCTAGGGCAGCACAAAACCAGGATACACCACTGCCCGAACCCCATTGAAGTCAATGAGGACCCGAACTTTTGGCCACAAAAATGCCTCTAAAAAGTCCTGAAAAGGGCTAGAGCGCTGCAAAAGGAAGTAAAATGTGGGTAAGAGTAGGACAAGTGCCCTGCAAACAAAAGTGAATAGGGAAATCACTTAAAACAACATAAAAATGTAAAATACAGCTGAGCCATAAAACAGCACTAGATAGTGGCGTACATACTGGGGTCGTCGCGGTCGTGTCTGCGACCGGGCCCAGCCCACCAGGGGGCCCGGCTGCCCCTGTGACCCAGTATGTACCCACTGGGCCAGCCTCTTCTCCTGGGGGGCCCAGGAGCCAGCCACCTCAGGGCCCCCCGAGGCTGGCCCTGCTGAAACCTGGCAGGTAGGCGGGCGCACGCGCGCGCAGGGGAGAGTGCTCCCTCGCGCGCCGGCCTGGCCACCCAGCAGCACCACTGGACCCCAGGGAATCCCCTTAGCTCTCCAAAATGTAAGGAGGCTAGGGGGATTAAATTTAAAAAAAAAGTGTGTGTGTGTGTGTGTAAGTTTGTTAGTGTTAGTGTGTGTTATTGTTAGTATGTGTGTGTTAGTGAGTGTCATTGTTAGTGTGTGTGTTAGTGTCAGTGAGTGTGTCTGCTAGTGAGTGTGTGTCTGCTAGTGAGTGTCAGTGAGTGTGTTTGATGTCTGTTAGTGAGTGTGTTTTTGTCAGTGAAAGTGTATGTTTTCTAAGTGTGTGTATGTCTGTCGCTGAGTGTGTCTCTGTCAGTCAATGTGTGTGTCTGTTAGCTAGTGTGTATGCGTCTGTTCGTGAGAGTGTGTGTCTTCAGCATTTACTGCATTTAAACCGCACATAGGAAAGCATTACTCAATGCTTTCCTATGGACGTTCAGTGTCTTCTCACTGTGATTTTCACAGTGAGAATTACGGAAGCTCCTCTAGCGGCTGTCAATGAGATAGCCACCAGAGGCTGCATTAACCCTCAGTGAAACATAGCTATGTTTTCAGCTGCAGGGTTAAAACTAGAGGGACCTGGCACCCAGACCACTTCATTGAGCTGATGTGATCTGGGTGTCTGTAGTGGTCCTTTAAGTGTGTGTGTGCATACCGCGGTCGCAGTGTCGCTGCCCTGCAACCAGGTGCCCATCGGCGTGTGTTGCGGCCCCGACCCGTGCTGAGTAAGCGCGGGGGGGCCCACCGATCAATTTTCGCACCGGGGCCCCATGGGTCATGTGTACGCCACTGGCACTAGATGCATGAAGAAAAGGCCTTCACAAGCCTCTGCTATCGTGTACATAGTTTATACTAAATGACCCATAGGTTGAGCAGGCAGTGACTGTGGCGGTGTAGGTGGAAGCGGTGGTGGAGGAGGAGGAGGTAGCCAACACTGTTTTTTAGATATATATTTTTTATTTTAATTTATATGCCCCAAAATATTGGGACATATAAAAAAAAAAAGAAACATTTGCGGCTTTCGGTGCATTTCTTGCGGTCCTGATGCATGAAGAAAAGGCCTTCACAAGCCTCTGCTATTGTGTACATAGTTAATACTAAGTGACCCATAGGTTGAGGAGGCGATGACAGTGGCGAGGAGGTGGAAGCAGCAGTGGAAGAGGAGGAGGTAGCCAACACTGTATATTATATTTATTTATTTTTTGGAATTGGGGTAGCCCCCAAAATATTGGGACATATATTAAAAAAAACAAACAAAAAAAACAAAAAACTCTGTTCCGCAGAGCGACTGACCCGTGCGTGCTGCAGCTGAAACTCCACTATCGCCTGCTGCTGCTCGCACAGTCTCATGAGTCTGTGGGCGGGAAGGCCGAAGTTACGCTGCAGCGCAGACAGGCAAGCAGCAGCAGGGTGAGAACCCTGAAAGCACGCAGACGGCCCGCACTTTTTGCAGCAGCTCTGATATATCTGGGTAGTTTTTCAGGAATTTCAGCACATGCATCAGGCAAGGGATGTGCGTCAAACTGGCGAGGCCCAGAGCTGCTATGAGATTTTGCCCATTATCGCACACCACCACCGGGCTTGAGGCTCAGGGGCAACAACCACTCATCGGTCTGTTGTTCCATGCCTGTCCACAGCTCCTGCGTGGTGTGGGGTTTTTCACCCAAACATATGAGTTTAAAAACAGCCTGCTGTTGTTTCCCCCTGGCTGTGCTGAAGGTGTTATGCTGAATGGATGAGGAGGTGGTAGAGGAGGAGGAGGCAACAGGAGGCAAAGTTGTGTACCCAAATAAAGATTGTCAAACGTTGTATCCTGCAACTGTGTCCCATCCGGTTACTGGGGAAATGTGTCTGACCTATTCTAATCAAAAGGGATAACCATCTGTTACCCAGGTCCCGCTTCAATTGGTGGCAAGCGGCGGAATCCCATGTCCCTGCCAACAGACCCATGGACTACAGTGCTCTAAAGTAACCTACAAGGAGGTGGATTGTCAGGAGGACCTTTTTGGAGGTGCAAGCCTATGTCCTTGCCAATAGACAGAGGGTGACCTCCATGAACCCAGATGAAGGAAGAAGGGAAGAGGGCGCCGGGAAGCACAATCGCCCTGGCCCACAAGCTACCATACAATGCCTTCAAAGACTTCAAGGAAGCAGAAGAAGATATCGATGACTTTTTACAAGACTTTGAACACCAGTGCCTACTTCAAGATGTGGACCCCAGCGACTGGGTCACCATTATGGCCATCAAACTAGTGGGGAAGGCAGCGGATATTTACCGGGCTGTACCAGAAGAGCAGATCAGAGACTATCCCTCTATTACCCAAATTCACCCGGTCACCCCCGAGCAATATTGCAGTAAGTTTAGGGAGACCCGGAAATGGGAGAAGGACTCCCGTGCAGAGTGGGCATGCAGCATCACAAGGGCCACCCAGAACTGGCTCAACTCCCATCAAGCAAAGTTCCCGGAGGAGATCACCCAGCTCGTCATGCTAGAGCACTTTTTCAATGGGCTCCCTAACGACAAGGCGACAACGCATTCGAAGGTCATTCTTATAAACTTTCGATGCCATTTACTGCACCTACCATGGTGACCATGGGTAATGGGGAATCAGGGCTCGATTCCGGAGA